AGCTGACGAAGAAGAAGGTGCTGCAGCATTGCACGGTGACGGAGACGGTGAGGAGAGGGTTGCGATGCGCTACCTTTCACTCCGTCGCTCTCCTCCTCCGTTGCCAGGGGAGGATGCAGCAGGGGTTCAAGATGCTTCAAAGAGCGCTGAAGGTGGTGCGGCAGAAGCAGGGCATGGAGGTCATGGAGGCAGCGACTCTGCTCAACATGTCGCTCATTCTCTTCCACCATCAACGTCCTCTCGACGCCTCTACCTTCACTCGCGCGGCTCTCTCCCTCCTCGCCGATCATGAGCCAGAGGCTCGCAAGGCCTGGAACGAGGCGGCGCTGCGAGGAAGCGGCTCGTCCGGGAGAAGTGCGAGGGTGACGGCGCTGGAGGCCATGGCGGCGGTGGGGCATCACAACCTCGCCATGTTCCAGTGGGGCCGAGAGGAAGCCAAGGAGAGTCTGCTCAAGGCAAAGAGAATCGCTGGGACGTTCCTAGGGAAAAACTCCCTCCTCTCGTCTTCGATCGCTTCCCGAGTGTCTGCCAAGCCTGGCTCCTCCTCCTCTGTCTCTCAGTCCCCGCTGACTCGAGGTTACGTCCATTGGGGACAAGCACCGACAGGATTAAGGAGGAAGACGAAGCAGAGCCGAAGAGGAAAGAGAAGGCCACGCAACGAGGAGGAGGAGGAAGAGGAGGAGGAGGAGGCTCTAGTGCCTGCCCTCTTACAGTTCGACCGGGAGGTTCAGGTCGATGGGTTGAAGATGCCGGAGAGAAAGAGCAGAGAAGATCCAGCGAAAGTTGATGAGAGCCAGCAGGGAAGAGAGCACAACTCAATCGACATGCGAAAAGATGAGGAGAGGGAGAGGGAGAGGGAGAGGGAGAGGGAGAGGGAGAGGGAGAGGGAGAGGGAGAGGGAGAGGGAGAGGGAGAGGGAGAGGGAGAGGGAGAGGGAGAGGGAGAGGGAGGGGGAGAGGGAGAGGGAGAGGGAGAGGGAGAGGGAGAGGGGAGGAGCAAAGTTGGAGGAGGACGAGGGAAGGATTGGCGAAGGGAGGGCA